CGCATGCTCTCTTTCAGTGGCAGCTTTGTCACTGGTAGTCGGAAAGCCTTTGAAACAGCAGCAGTTCAGGCTAAAGTCATTCTCCACTTAGAGAAACCTGCTGTTCAAAAGAAACCGCTGGGCGGTTTCCGTTGCGGCCACTTTCGGATTCAAACCCTCCGGTGAACCGAATACAAAAAGTTATAGCGTTTGTTTCCCCCCCACTTTTGCTCAGCTTTTCGGCATCAGCCCAAGTTGCTGCCGCTTCGACAGCGTCATTCATCTGGTGCCCCAGCTGAGACACGTGCTGCTATTGAATGTCGTGGATCCGGCAGACAGCCGAGGTCCTGAGATCTTTGCACCTCTGGTGCTATTATTTCCTATTCAGTTTAGCGTGATTAAAACAAATGTCTATTTCAATAAATAAATAACACCCAAGAGTGGAGCGCACCTGGTGAAGCTTAAAGAGCCGTTTTCTGAGTGATAGTAGCCCACAGCAAAGCCTTCAAGGAGCGGGAGCAAATTTCATTCTATTTTTCCAAGCGATGACTGTCTAAATCAGGGGTAGGCAACCTATGGCACGTGTGCCAAAGGCGGCATGTGTGCTCATTTTCAGTGGCACTCACACTGCCCGGGTCCTGGCCACTGGTCAGGAGGCTCTGCATTTTAATTTAATTTTAAATGAAGCTTCTTAAACATTTTAAAAACCTTATTTACTTTTACATACAACAATAGTTTAGTTCTATATTATAGAAAGAGACCTTCTAAAAGAGACCTTCTAAAAACGTTAAAGTGTATTATTGACACGTGAAACCTTAAATTAGAGTGAATAAATGAAGACTCAGCACACCACTTCTGAAAGGTTGCCGACCTCTGGTCTAAATAATCTTCCCATCTTTTCCATCCCTCATTGATGAATATTACCTACTCATTGCCACAGTTTGTAGAGAAAGGGAGCCAAGGCAACCACCTTTGGATGCTCTTTATCGTTTGATAAAGCTGGGCATATCTATTACAAACAGTGAAATGCAGCTGCATAACTTCATGGGCATAACTGAGAGGCCCCAGAGTCTTGTGATTGAAGCAGGGGTCTAGGACTCAGGGCCCTGGCTTCAGTTCCCAGTTCTGCTGCAGACTTCCTGTGTGATCTTGGGCAAATCATTCAGTCTCTGTGCCTTAGTTCTTGATCTGTAAAAGTCCTTCCCTATTACCCCCTATCTCCCAGCAGCATTGTGAGTGGTTGCAAGGTGCTCAGGTACTACGGTGATGGGGGATTATAAGTACCTAGACAGACAGAAGGCAGAGATGGGACCTAACCAAGTCCCCCTGATCTGAGACACCAGCAGAGTTTGGGGGAGTTCCTGTCTCTGTAATGGGGTGAATCAAACCAAGGGGGCCTACAGCTCAAGGGCCTCTCCCGACAGTCTCCCCAGTAACCATGTCCCAATCCCCTTAAGGTTTTATAGGTTAAAACCAACACTTTGAACGCAGCACAGAAACGTAGTGCAGAGCACTGGTGTAATGTGCCGTCTGTAGAACATGCAACTTGATAAGCTAGCAGCTGCATCGCCGACCTCGCTACCTTCAGTTTCCATTTAGTCTCAACGTGCTATGTGGAATCATGGATCTTCTTAAACAGCAGGCATTTAGTAAAGGAAAATGCTACAACTAGAGGAACAAATAGGCTTCCACACAGCTCAAGCTCCAGCTCTTGTCGCCCTTCTTAACCAGAGGTCACATCCTGTCTGGAACTCTACACAGCCTACAGACCTCTAGTGGTTAGATGGCATACTGCAGGTAAACATATGATTACACATGTGGCCTCACGTACAGCATTTTGCTGTAAGTGTATCTCGAGGTGACAAGGGCATGTGTAATGAGGGCAAAACTTGCACCTCCCGGAAAGGTCATGTTCTCCTTGTTGAGTACAGATGGTGTGACCAGCGCTGCTACCTGGACCATACTGCAGCTGCATTCCATAAACTCAGCAGTGACAATAATCCTCCTAACAGAGGGGTCCAAAACTCTCCCCTGTCACCCCAAGCCCCCAACTTGTTTGCTTGAACCCACAATCCCTGTCTTCAGAGACACGGGCCATGGAGCTGCCATGGTGCAGACATAGTCCTTTCATCTGCAGAACCTAGTGGCAGGGGCATCTGCAGCAGCATTCTGTGACTTTGGTAGCTACGTTATCAATAATGTGGGCATCTGGCCCTCCTCCATATTCACTTCTTTTCATCTGTCTCCTGGAGCAATAATGCATATGCACAAGTTATTCTCCAGTCAGCAGAAATCCAACTGCTCTGATGTGCCTTTATACACAATTTTAATATTTTAAAACGGTGTGCCTGACTTGTTTGGTCTCTTCCTAGTTCTGTATTTGCTCTTTTGAAGTCATTTTCCTAGATTTCTTCTTGCAAGCAGCAGAGATGGAGGGGGTTAGGAAGGGTAGGGCGAGGAATGAAAGCCTAAGAAGAATGATGAGAAATGCTTATGTCGCACATTTATTGGCATGTCTGTTCATTGTGTAAAGACTTGCTGGGTGGGAATAGATCACTTGGCCTAACAAATAGCAATTCTAAATGATCTGGAGAAATGGTCTGAAGTAAATAGGATGAAATGCAATAAGAACAAATGCAAAGTACTCCACTTAGGAAGGAACAATCAGTTGCACACATACAAAATGGGAAATGACTGCCTAGGAAGGAGTACAGCGGAAAGGGATCTGGGGTCATAGTGGATCACAAGCTAAATATAAGTCAACAGTGTAACACTGTTGCAAAAAAGAGCAAACATCATTCTGAGAGGTATTAGCAGGAGTGTTGTTGTAAGCAAGACACGAGAAGTAATTCTTCCGCTCTACTCCATGCTGATTAGGTCTCAACTGGAGTATTGTCTCCAGTTCTGGGTGCCACATTTCAAGGAAGATATGGACAAATTGGAGAAAGTCCAGAGAAGAGCAACAAAAATGAATACAGGTCTAGAAAACATGGCCTATGAAGGAAGATTGAAAAAACTGGGTTTGTTTAATCTGGAGAAGAGAGGACTGAGAAGGGACATGATAACAGTTTTCAAGCACATAAAAGGTTGTTACAAGTAGGGAGAAAAATTGTTCTCATTAACCTCTGAGGATAGGATAAGAAACAATGGGCTTAAATTGCAGCAAGGGTGGTTTAGATTGTACATTAGGAAACACTTCCTAACTGTCAGGGTGGTTAAACACTGGAATAAATTGCCTAGGGAGGTTGTGGAATCTCCATCATTGGAGATTTTAAACAACAGGTTAGATTGTCAGGGATAGTCTAGATAATACTTAGTCCTGCCAGGAGTGCAGGGGACTGGACCAGATGACCTCTCGAGGTCCCATTCGGTCCTATGATTCTATGAAACCCCCTTCCAGAGTCGATGTCTCCTCATTCAAATCTCTTGAAACATTCTGCTTACGGACAGTTCTGCTACATGACCATGTGCGTTTTTGCATTTGTCGTTACTCCTATTTTTTTTTACAATAAAAGGACTCTATCGTATTAAATGTAACTATTTTTAAAACCACATTCCCTCAGTAACACCATGGTTATTAAAATCTGATCTATTCATCAGTCTAGATGAGCCTAGACCAAAATATCAAATCCAAAAATACATAAACAGTGATGATGTGATGAGTGAGACCTTGTTCTCAGTTTTGCTGTTAGCCCCTGTGTCAATAATGTGTCAAGGAAAATCTGTATGTGTGGATTCTGGATTTATATGCCCTGATCCTGCAAAAACATATGCAGGTGGTTAAGAAGTTTTACCACAGACTTCAATGGAGCTAGGATTTCACCCAATGTGGATAATCCTGCTAAAAGCAATGGCTGAAGTCTTTGCAGGATTGGGATCTAATTCTGACACCCAGCCTACCCCTTCTTTCACCATGAATGCTGTGTTTTTCCTATGAGCATTCCTCTGAAGTTGGATGATGAAAATAAACTTGTCAGTGTCACTTTCTGGCTCTCCTGCTCTAGAACCCTGCTATTATATTTGGGATGCAAACAATGAGTTTACAGCAAAATAAAAATCTGAATTAAACAACAACAAAAAGCTCAAACTGTGTCTTGATCTTAGGGTTTGTAAAAAAATTCAAAACATAACATTTTAAGTGTGACCTGACCTGACAGTATCCCTTAAAAAATGCTTTGCTTCCAGACTTCTGCTTTCTTCGCCACCGAACGAGACAGTCCTGTTAGTGACATTATAATCATTCCCACAACAATTAGCGAGTGGGAGCGTGGCATAGAGGAATGAGTCAGGAACCCCCAAGATCTAGTAACAGTTCTGCCACCCCAGTCTTGGGAAAGTCACTTAACCTTTCTGTGCCTCAGTGTCTCCAGCTGTAGAATGGGGATACTTTATTGTATACATCACAGACCTATTGTGAGGTTAATGGGGCAAAGTTTGTATAGTACTTTGAATGGGTAAATGTTATATAAAACTCCTAAGTATTTTGACTTGAGTATGTATCTCTCTGTCCACCTGTGTTTATTTCACTGCCCTTTGTGGGAAAGACTTGGAATCGCTCAACTCTCATATAGAACAATATAGGGGCTAGGGGGCCCACGCTCTTGCAGCGGGAGTGTCCGAGTTCTTTCCCGGCTGTTTTCAGTTGCTATGGCATGCAGTACAGTGACAACCATGAAATCCTAAGTGGCCACAGATTTCTTACAGCATTTACATTATTGTTACAACTAAACCGCTCTCTGAAAATTCCCCTCCTGGATAATAGAATAATCTGCAGGAAGCTACTCCCCTGGAACCTATACAAGAACAGTAACCAAAGAGAGAGAGGGAAGAACTGTGCAGTGTTCTCTCTCATTGACTTTATTCAGATATGCAAATAAGCATAATTAATTCTTCCAGAAACCTTTCCCAATGGGGAAGACAGAATTGAAAGTGTCTCTGTGGGCACTCTGCATATAATGTTTGATAATCTAACATTTCTCCTGCAGATCTTTCACGTGCTCCCATGTTTGTGTTTTCTGTAGCATGCTGGAATACTCCCTGGACTTGCAGAATGTCAGTTTCTCAGCTGTTCGGACTGTCCGAGTACTTCGGCCACTCAGAGCCATTAACAGAGTTCCCAGTAAGTCGATTCCCTGTTGTCTTCCCTTTTTCAGTTCGTTCCAGTTCATTATTCCAGACACTGTGGAGCTGAAGGAGCAACTGGGATGCTTTGCATCTTTTTTCTCAAGTTGCACTAAAAATGTTGGTCTATGTGTCTTGAGTGGGCTGGCTCCTACAGCTGCTATTGTGTTCCCTGGTCCTTTTGTAGTTCCTAACACCATGCTGGTTTTAGTGAATAGTCCATCCATCTAACCATCTTTGGAAACAGGAGCAAACTGGTAATCAAAAAGCCAGTCATAGACCATCCACGCTGTTCCATTTGTTTATCTGGTACGCTGTCCCCTCCCTGCTAGGGAGCTCCTCTCCGAATCACTTTGCAAGTAGTTGAAAAGTTAGTTTGGAGGAAGGACTGGTGTGTGATGTAAAAGGCACTGAGGAGAGTTACTGATCTGGTCTGTGTGTTTTTGGAGGGGGGCGGGTATAGATCATGAGTGGGGAGCACTTGCCATGCTTGTATTGTTATAATAGTTCAAGGATACACCATGGACCACATCTTCAGCTATGCTGCAGCAGCTTTGCATCTTCCCTTCCTCCGCTTCTTAGGACTTGTTTACACAGGGGCAGGGCCGGCTCCAGGCACCAGCTTCTCAAGCAGGTGCTTGGGGCGGCGGCTCCGGAGAGGGGCGGCACGTCCAGGTATTCGGCGGCAATTCGGCGGACGGTTCCTCACTCCGGCTCGGAGCGAAGGACCTCCCACCGAATTGGCGCTGTAGATCGCGATCGCGGCTTTTTGTTTTTGTTTTGTTTTGGCTGCTTGGGGTGGCCAAAACCCTGGAGCTGGCCCTGCACAGGGGAATGTATAGGCAGAACTATACAAGTATAATTTTATTGCTATAGTTATAGTATAGCTTCCCCTGTAGACACTCTTATTCTGGACTGAGAGAGCCTTTTTTCCATTTAGGGTATACCACTTTCAAAGTGATATACCAGTATAGTTTTGTGCCGGTAATTTTCCCCATAGAGACAAGCCCGGAGTCACTACTTAGGATCCCCTAGGCTAGGGCCATGTTATTTGTGTAAATCAGCAATTCTCAACCTTTTCCACAGTGGGACCATCCTCCTATTTAGCAACATGGGAAGGACAAGGTGGATGCGAGCTGCTGATTGAGAATTCATGATTTGTCTTTCAGGGAGTTCAGTGATGCTATGGCCCTCACCAAGTTCGTTATAGAATCATAGAATACCAGGGTTGGAAGGGACCCCAGGAGGTCATCTAGTCCAACCCGCTGCTAAAAGCAGGGCCAATCCCCAGACAGATTTTTGCCTCAGATCCCTAAATGGCCCCCTCAAGGACTGAACTCACAACCCTGGGTTTAGCAGGGCAATGCTCAAACCACTGAGCTATCCCTCCCCACATGGTAAGGGAGTACTAAGTGACACCCAAAGGGAATGGAGGGGTCATGAGCTGTTAGACTCTGTGGTTGTTGGCTCTTCAGCTCACATCAAAAATGCCTGTTGGCCTGAGGCTGGGCCTGCAAAAAGGAAGCCAGTGATGGAGGACAAGGAAACAAGATATTTGGATTTTGGGACATTTTCATCGAGGCTTGTAAGGTCTCTGGTGATAGAATTGAGAAGACCAGTACCTTGGGTTGACGATAGGTGGTGTAACTTCTGTTTCTGGCCCATACATTCATGCCCCAACGAGCGGAGGGTAGCCCTAGAGTCTTTCAGAGTATGTAAGAACTCAGCCTTTTGATTTAAAAGATGGGATGTCTTTAAGAAATTATGCGAAACCTTCGTTTCCCCCAGAAGTGATGCTCCACAATAGAAACAGACCCTTCTAGGGCCAAACGCCAGCAAAAAACAAACCTACCCCAAGTAGAGTTTTGGCCCTAAGAAGACGGAAGTGTCATTGCTGGAGACGCCATTTGGCCCACAGGGATTTTGCTGTTGATTTTAAGTATTCAGATGATACAGGGATGGGCAGCAAGATAAAACCAGCAGGTAGATAGATAATAAGCTTGGTCCCACTCATAAATTCTGAGAATCATGTGTGCTAAATGCAGATGCAACATCACTGGAAAAGATAAACAGGATTCCAAACACATAGAAAGTCTCTAATTCACCATGGTTATCAGCCAAATTAAATCTAAGTCAGAAGAGCAGCCCAGCTGGTTGAACTAGCCTGTCTCCTCAACGGGCGCTACGTGGCCCCCACTCTGTCCAGCGATGCTGGAAATTCCTAGGCTGTAATTATTTTTCCGATCCTGTCTATTAAACTTAATCTGGTTGGCTATTTGCTGTTGTTTTTATCATTACAGTAGCTTCAGAACCCTGTTTGTAATTCCCCCCCCCCTGCAGAATTGATGGATGGTGGAATTTATCTGCCGCTGTCTAACTGTGGATGTAATTCACTTAATGGATTTGCAAATTCGGGGGGATTTATCCTATCTCTTATGTAGTGGAGCTAGAGCAGGATAGAAACATAAGGTGGGAATGGAAGAAAGTGAGCTCTGATAGATGATAAATGCAGGAATTAGAGCAAGTTGTTTGTTATTTAGGAGTTATGTAGGGAGGCTTATCCAGTCAGAGGAGGGACAGCGTGGACTGGAGGTGACAGCATCCGGTAACAATGAAAAAGGCTTATTGAGGTACCAAAAGTAAAAGAGGCCACAGTGAAGGTTTCCTTAAATAAAGATCAATATAAGCAAGAGACCGAATGCAAGAGATGGAGAGAGAGAGGGAAAGAGAGATGAGCAGAATATTACAGAGATGTCGGATGAAATCAATTTTTTTGTGTAAATGTCAAGTTGAAGTCACCATCAATTTGTCTTTGGTACAGAACTGAATGTTCCCAAACTTGTATGAATTAACTGCCATCGGAAGTCCTGTATTTTAAGGAGGAGACGGGATTTAGAAGAGATGAGAGGAATTAGGAAGGGAAGGGGTATACTGAAGGCTCTAGAATTACTCTAGAGGTAATGTGAGTAGGAGGAGCTTATGGGCGAATGGCAGAGTTCAGTCTAGGTTAAGAAGGAAGATAGTTAAGCTGAAAAGTTAGGGAAGAAGAATTTTGAGAGGAAGGGGAGGAGTTCAAAGGGGAAGAAGTGAGTGTGGAAAGATTGTGGGTTAGATGCCCCAGTGATTGTGAAGAGGTGGGGCTAATGGCGGCGTGTAGGGTTGAAGGGAGAAAGTCCCAAGATCCTTGTCAGGAATTCAGAGGTGAGTGGGGGAGCTGTAGGTGCCTGGAAGACACCCGCGGGTGAAAAGGACATTGGGTGGGAAGACAGTGGGGAGATTACTGAAGGGAGTTGAGCAGTGAGTGGGTGGAAGGCCACTTGGGAAAGGATAGGGTGGGGAGAGCTTAGCCTGAATGTGAGGAATGAGGAAATTTAAAGGCCATTCCCCCTTTTGCCTCAGGTATGCGCATCCTGGTCACACTGCTCTTGGACACACTGCCCATGCTGGGGAACGTCCTCCTCCTCTGTTTCTTTGTCTTCTTTATCTTTGGCATCGTGGGAGTCCAGCTGTGGGCAGGGTTGCTCAGGAACCGCTGCTTCCTACCTGAGAACTTCAGTCTGTAAGTATGAATAAAGGCTCCCCATCTGGCCTGGGAATGAGGCCGATCGAAACCTGTCTAAGAGTCAATTCTTGCTTCCATCGAAGCCAATAGGAATGTGCCATTGACAGCAGTGGGACCTGGACTTGGCTGTAAGGAACCACCACTGCTCTGATACTGAATTTCTTCATGGGTTTCATGAAAGGAATGCTCCAGAGGCAGGTGCTTTCTCAGCTCAGTGAAGAATGAGCTTAACAATACATCAATCTAATAAACCTCTGGCATTAAAATAGGTATCTGCAGTACGTCTCTGTTAATGTGACCTATGTGTCTAGAGGGAATTTCAGCCTCTGATCCTGATGTAGTGCAAGGAATGGTAATTTCCCAGCTTACAGAAACACAATGTAAATGTGAGACACTTCTGCCTGGAGATCAGTGATTGAGGAATTCCACCTGGCTGAGGAAACAGCCAGCCAGTCTCAGCTGGTATCAGGAGGCTAGTGCCTGAGAGACAGGTGAGATGGATAGACTGGGGAAGGGACCTTAACTGGGAAAATAGTGACTGGGGAACCCCAGCTAACTGTAGGCCTATTAGCATGTCAAAAGGTAAGTGGCTGAGGGATATAGACTGAGGTCTGGGTTGTACTTATAAGTTGGGTTGACATAGTTACCACTATGTATTCACACCCCTGAGAGTCATAGCTATGCTGACCTAACCCCTGGTGTAGACGTGGCTAGGTCAATGGAATCCGCTCGGGGAGGTGGATTGCCTCTGTTGTAGGAAGCATCTAGACTATGGTGCTACTGCAGCGTATCTGTGCCACTGTAGTGCTCATAATGTAGAACGGGGCTTCTCAACTTTTTTCTTTCTGAAGCCCCCCCCCCCAACATGCTATTTAAAACCTCCACGGTTCACCTGTTCCCCCAACAACTGTATATATGCATATAAAAGCCAGGGCCAGTGTTGGGGAGTAGTAATAAGGGCAATTGCCCATGGCCCCCACCACAGGGGGCCCCACAAAGCTAAGTTGCTAAGGCTTCAGCGTCAGCCCTGGGTGGTGGGGCTTAGGGCCCTGGGCTTCAGCCCCATGCAGTGGGGCTTTGTCTTTCTGCTCTGGGCCCCAGCGAGCCTAATGCCAGCGCTGCTTGGCAGACCCCCTGAAACCAGCTGACACGCACTGGCATAGACGAGCCCTGATATTCTGCCCCTAAGGATGTTAGTGGGTATAAGCACATGCACCTGGAATATTCGTAGCTGAGAGATATTGGCCTGATGTTTCTGCCTATTGGTACTTAGTGGCTGAGGGATCCCAGCTGGCACTGCCCCTTTGTGGGAAGATCCGTGATGATGGGATCTCAGGTGGGAGGTTCGTGCCATCTCTCCCTTTGCCCATTTTCCCATTCTATGGTGTGTTGTGTTGCTCTTCTAATCCAATAGCTTTTCACACTCACTCTCCAGTCACATGTTTACTCTTCGCTTAACAGGCTTTGCAATTTTTGTATACAAGATGAAAAACTCAAGAAATACATAAATCAGCAGAAATTAGCATAAAGCAACCAGGAGGTTACTCAAGCTGGGTACTGCCTTCCTCTGCAAGTGGCACAGTTACTCAGCGTGAGCGAGGGTGACGGGATCAGGCCCTGCATGTTCTACGGTAACATGCAAATGAAATGGACTTCACCCAAATCAGTGTATTATTGCCCCTTTGCTGAGCGGAAGCCAGGTTTAGGCCTTGCAGGTCAATTCTGCGTTCGGAGCAGAAATCGGTGACTTGGATTACAGCAGTTTCATAGCGTAATGTGTGTGTTTACCAAATGTACATGAGTCCCGTTTCCTAGAACAGAGGTGGTCACAGACTGCACACAGGCAGCTTGCTCTCTTCAGGTCTGAGACCCACCTCTGTCCTGTCCCAGAAGCAGCTACCTTTCGCTTCTGTCTCTCTCTCTGTGGCCTAGTCTACATTTAATAGCTACAGAACTCAGAGACTTGAAAATTCCACACCCCCGAGCACCGTAGTTACACCGACCGAGCCCTAGTGTAGACGCAGCTAGGGCAATGGAAGAATGCTTCCGTCAACCTACCTGCCATCACTCGGAGAGCTGGAGTTCCTATAGTGATGGGAAATCTCTTCCGTCACTATTGGAAGTGTCTGCACTATGACAGTACCGTGGTATAGCTACAGCATCTTAGCTGTGCCTATGTGGCAGCCATAATGTAGACATGCCCCTCCCCCCCTCTCTCAAATCTCAGTTGCTTAACAAACAGTTTTCTCCGCCTGCCCCAGGAGATTTGTACCTGGGAAACCCCCTGTCTCAAAGCTGCTCCTCTCGGACCACATGGCTTTCAAAGGTGAGCCAGGGCATCAGCTCTCCTTTTGTGCAGCGGCTTCATGTACAAAAAAACCTCAGCGCTTTCACTGCCAAATAAGGAGAGTGATTCAGCCAATCAGCCCACACTATCTCTTTAACAAAGTGCTGGGGGCTAATGAATCAAATGACCCCAATGGTCAAGACATTAGCCCCTTTCGGTGTAACAGTATATACAGTACACCGCTACCTCGATATAACGCGACCCGATATAACACGAATTCGGATATAATGTGGTAAAGCAGGGGGCGGGGCTGCGCACTCCAGTGGATCAAAGCAAGTTCAATATAACGCGGTTTCACCTATAACGCAGTAAGATTTTTTGGCTCCGGAGGACAGCGTTATATCGAGGTAGCGGTGTACT